TTAGCAGGATTTCTAAGCATTTGTTCAATAGAAGGCCCCTACCCAAAAATAAGACCTAGTGATGGGCATGGCTACACAGCGTGTCTGCACAAAACCCAGCATTTTGTCTCGAGCAGTAAAGAAGACGAGGCAGCCCTTCATTCTGCCCCCATGAGAGCTCTATTGCTTGACATGAGAGATTGGGGCCAATGGGTTCTAAAGGAAGTAGAGTCGCAAGAAATTCAGGATTGGAATCGGTGGGGGTTTGGAGAGTTATGATGATGTTCCAGGAGAAGACGACTTAACTATATTTGAATAAATGTAGATTGTGTTCCGTACTTAAAAAAAATAACACATCCCCTGAAAATAAGCCCCAGGGTGTCTTATTGAGGAAAAATAGATATAAGACCCTATCTTATTTTCGGAGAAACACGGTAGACCTAACTATAAATATGGATATATCTGTATTACATAGATATAGTAAATTAACATTCTTTTTAAACATTTGAAATTTAATAAATCATCACTGAACTTGTGATAATTACTTATTATTATGTAAGGTACTTGCTTAATTCTGTAATTGTAGGTTCCTTCCTATTTGGTCATTATTTAAAATATATGAATAAAGCTTAAAAAGTATTGTATTATAGAAAAAGGTTGGAAAAACAAACACCACATGTGCTCACTCTTAAATTGGTACTAATTGATCAACACTAAAGCACACATATGGAAGTAACATTCATCAGTGTCGGGTGGGTGGTGGGGGAGGAGGGGATGTGTAAATTCACACCTAACAGTGGGGTGGGAGCTATCTGGGGGATGGGTACGCTTGTAGCTCTGACTTGGGCTATGCAAAGGCAATGTATGTGACCAAAGCATTTGTACCCCTGTAATATTCTGAAATTAAAAAAAAAAAAAAGAAAAGTGTAGGCCGGGCATGGTGGTTCACGCCTATGATCCTAGCACTCTGGGAGGCCAAGGCGGGTGGATTGCTCAAGCTCAGGAGTTCAAAACCAGCCTGAGCAAGAGCAAGACCCCCATCTCTACTAAAAATAGAAAGAAATTAATTGGCCAACTAAAAATACATAGAAAAAATTAGCCTAGCATGGTGGTGCATGCCTGTAGTCCCAGCTACTCAGGAGGCTGAGGCAAGAGGATTGCTTGAGCCAGGACTTTGAGGTTTGCTGGCATATGGCTAGACCCACAGCACTCACTCTAGCCCGGGCAACAGAGTGGGACTCTGTCTCAAAAATAAAAATAGAAGTGTTATGAAAATTCTGAAAACTTTTATTTACACAATTTGAAAAATTAATTTCTAGCATAATCTTGTGCTGGGCATTTTGTCTCTTTTATTCGCCTCCTTGCTTTTTTCTTTAGATGGTGGCAGATAATAATGCTAAATGCAGGTTTAAGTTACTGTGCTGACTGTAGTGGCTAAGGAAGTATCAGTCACTTATTGGATAGGGACATAGGGAATACACCTTTGGCTTGGCTCCAGTGGCTGATGTTTTCGTTGCAGCTGCAAGATGTGCGTAGTGGGAAAAGCCGCACCAATGGCTCAGATGAAGAACAAGAAGGGGTCCAGTGCAATCAAACCAGAATGTGGCCCTGGCCATAGCTGGGAATCTTATTTGAAGACAAGTGGAGTAATGCTATCTTCCTTGGTATGTTGGTGGCATATTTGGTCTGGTTAGTTTCATTTTGTGTCTTTTCCCGTGTTCTGATGGGAGAACCAGCTTAGAGTCGGCATGATGGTTTCTTCCTCACTGTGCTGGAAGCGGAGGTCATCTTGAGGCTGCCAGTGAGGAACACACAGCTGTAGACAGACGTTCTGGCAACACAGCGGAGAGTTTTTTTGGGGTGCAGACGCCAATTCAGGGGCAGTCGCAGTGGTGCTGGCGTTCAGGTTCAAGGAAAACGGGCAGGAACAGCAGGAAAGCTTGGAA